TCTGATGGTGTTACTTCAGATGTACACTCATGTAACTGAGAGCAAATTATGGGTCACTGTATATAAACAGCTCTACCTAGAAGTATAACAAAGACTGTATTGTGCTCTGTACAGCAGAGCCAATAAATGAATTCAAAAGACACCTAGACGTGTTCCTGGAAAAAAAGGGGGCAGGGGTCTAAGTGGTCTGGTGGGAAAACAGGAAAGTGAGATTAAGATAAATTAAAACAGGTTTGGCATGCTGGGCTGTATAGCCCCTCCTACTCTTATCTCTTTTGCAGTTTTTAGAACATGCATCATTACAAAATGAATTGTTATTTTGCACTGTAAAAAACTGATTCATTTCAGAAGCAGAATGCCACCACAGCACACAAGATGAATGCTGTTAAAATGAGTCTACGATGACTTACAGATAATTGAATTCAACCTGATGGATCTTTCTAAGACAGCCTGCACTTCGCACCCAGAAGCATTCATACAGTGTTCTTGGAAGAGGTGCGGGGCATGTCTTTTTTTTTTTATCCTCATATCTTTTGTCCAACTATTAGCTGAAATCCCATTCCAGGGAACTCCAGCATCTCCCAAATCCTTCTGAGCAACTCTGCAGTTTCATTTCAGGGTATTAAAATACACTTAAACTTATAACAACTACTTTTATATATACACAGTTACTGGAACAGAATACTCAGGTCAGTAAGGTTAATATTCAGGTTGCTTTAGAACTCTGTTAGGAAGACAAATAGCAGCAATTGCTAGTACCGACTGAATTCCCCTTACAAACTGGTTAGGCAGCTGCCAGTTTGCATAGTATAAATCCATTCACTGCAAGCCACGAGGTGGAGATCGCTAGCAAAGCAGGATCAAAAGGAAGTCTTTTACCCAGCCTAATGTTACTATTAACACTTTGAGCCATTGCATCAAGCCAATTTTTCTGTTTGTGTTTTAAAGTTTGATAGAAATGTCGCTAGTGGAAAAATTAAGTAAAGAGCACTGGCTAGCCACAGAACTGGACACACCTGGCTGCAAACCCACTAAAAGAAACTGACTTCATTAGTACTAGGGACAGCAGAGTAAAATTTATATCTGAAATATGCCTGCACCAGTAGAATTTGCTGAGGCCACAGGCTCTCTGTGTGTTTTTACAGCTGTGTCAAGTTTTGGTTTCTGACTCTTACCGACATTCAGGAGTGCTGAAGGAGCTCAGGCTAACAGGTCCCAAAACTTCGTAGCTGAGATTTAGATTTCAGCAATTTTAACAACCATGTTTTGAAATAATACAAACTCCATTTGGAGTTGGAACTGATGTAAATTAGTAGTTAAAATGCCTCACATTCTATCACTTTCGGCTCCAATGAACTTGTATATTTAAGAGCAGATGGCATATTTTAATAAACCACTAATATCAATTCAGGAACACAGTATCCATTTTCTGCATCAAGTGTTGGAATTGTTGGTAGATATGGAAATGAGAAAAAGAACTGCAGCTTTGTCTGTCAACAAGTTAAACTAATTGCATCCAAGTAGCAACTCCATACAGGTGCTCTGTCACTTACACAACAATACAGGAGTGTACCAATTGGAGTTAAGTACTGACCTTTGATACCCCACATGAGAGAAAAAGCAGGGAATGGAATTTCCTAACCTCCTAGGAGCTACGCAGGTGATAACTTGGTGCCTTTAAAAGTATTCAGTACATTTTCTTTTCATTTAACTTACTTCTGAGAAAGGCTCAGATACTGGAATCTAAAAGCATCAACAGAGGATAATTAGCGTCATCTTGTTTTTACCTAATATCCTTATCACTATATATTTAACTATCTTCTTTGGGAGGTAGAATATATACTGATGGCAGGTCTAAATTACTTGAAAAGAGCGAGCTCTTACACATATTCCTCAATCAGCTCACAAACCCTTTCTCATTATCTCAGCTTCATTTTAAAAGGAGCATTAGGAATAAATACATCAAGATTAGTAAGTAGAACCTACCACCTAGGGTAACTGCCCTTCACTTATTTATCACTTAAAATTCCTTGCAATTGCTAAACTTGAGATATAAAAAAAGAGTTCGGTCCAGGTACATCTATGTGAAGGAGAGGAAAGTAAGTGAAGAGTGAACAAGCATAGAAGAAACAGGAACCACCCATGCAGGGGCATGGGTGAAGTTGTATATTCAGCTAGCATAGCTAGCACCGAGGAAGGAAAACAAAGCAATTATAAGGAGCAAGGAAACAGCTAATCCTTTCAAACATCAATGCATAAATTATTTTCATTTAACATACAATACTACCAGAAGAGACTAAAAAGTTCATTCATCTTGACAAAATAATGACTGAAAGATTAGGAATAATTAAGAGATGTAAGAAAAGAAAAAAAAAAATCACTAAAAGATTATGAAAGCCCTATGACTTCACAGACAGTGTGGGGAAGACAACAATCCTGTTTTCCAACTTTACACTCTAAAGCATAGAGGTCACTATGCTTTCTTACACACCCTTAGTGCCTGGTCTAGGCCCTGGTCCGTTACCTCACAAGTTCACATTCTCTCACAAGGAGTCTCATTAAAATCAATGGGCCTCTGCACAGCTAAACCAGATTAAATATACACACAGATGTAACTTTTTGAGATTAAGCCTTTAAATGTGTACATACATACATTTAAGCATCAGCTATTGCCACATAAAAGCTATGTTAACACTAGGTTACAGTCAAAAGTATATTACAGGAATCATATTACTGCAAACTAAGCATGCTCATTATTACACTGCATGATCTTTATTACAAAGATTGCAAAATTGAAATTCAAGGACAAACTGAAAAGATGTTTCACCTGCCAAGGCAGAGAATGAATGGCATTCACACAGCTTAAGATCTCCTTACAGTTGCACCATAGAGCAACCATACATATGCATGTATTAACATGGGAGGCTCCAGACTGGATGAAAACATAAGGACACTGGTGGTTTTGTTTACACTTTGGGTAATTTTGGGGAGCAATGGAACAGTTTAGTTTGCAGAAATGGAAACCCTGTGCTTCCCTTTACAAAGAACTGACTGTAAGCATTATCTTTTTTTCCCCTTTAAAGTTTACTGGGGAAAAAAAAAAAATCTCTGTACAGGTCTAACTTACATCATGCTTCATTTTTGAGTTCTGCATGCTTGTAAGAGTGGCAAACAGCTAGCTTTGCTTTCTCTTTGCTGCTGCTTCAAGTCCTGCAAGGAAAACTACAAGATGGCATTTGAGGTTAGCTCATATAATGCAAAATTAGGGTCATGAGGAATAGAAAAATATTCTTCTGTTCCAAAGAACCATTCTCTGTGCACAGATGGAATCAAAAGATCCCTGAAGAGAATGGGGGGTGGGGGGGTGGGACAGACACACCGACACACGCTTTGGGGTTTTTGTTTTGTTTTTCAAGAACAGCAACCTTAAATTTACACCTGAAATGAAGATCTTGGCTGTCTCCAGTTCCTACAGAAAGTACAATCAACCACTGATATGACAGGGAAGGCATTGGATAAGGACAAAAATGCATAAGCTATTTCATCCAATCTTTTTCTCTGGTACTATCACGTAATTTGTTTAGGCTCACTCTTACTGCCTTATGGCATCTGACCAGTGGAGTGGAGATCCCCTAGTGAATTTATGTAAGCCCATTAATATAACAAGAAATTCTGAGAGGCCTGAATTTAGATTTAATCCAAAAGAAGATTAAGAGGATGACTTGTCTTTAAAAGCAAGCTGTATCATAGTAAAACTATGAAATTCCCAACAACTAGGAGAAAAAAAGCCATTGTTGGTGGAATAACAGAAGTTACATGAAAATCAACACTTTCTATAACCACATACATAATAAAAGATCAGAGAGAAACTTCTTGAATTACTAATATGACTGCCTACCAAATCCTAACTCACTGGTTAATTCCTTGTTTGTCACCAAGAGGAATAACCAGGGGTGAAGCTACTAGGGTATTTGGCTGACAACTAAGATGACAATATTGCCATTATTGCTGTATGAAAACTACAATTTCTCTAACAGTTTAATTTATTTTAATCACAGACAAATCTCTATTTAATTATTTGACAATTATTTTCTTTTTCAACAACACAGGAGATCTTTCCCAGCCCTACTCTCCCAGTAGAACTGCCCTGAGCATAGGCATCCTCAACTGTATATGGTTACATCACCACTGTGATACTGGGGTTAGGCAAACTATCTCCTACTTTCACTGCTTCTGCACTGTCTTCTCTGAAGGCTATTGCCAACACAAGGCTGGAGAAATGTACTTAGACTTTAAGGCCAGAAATAATCATTACAACTAACTAGCATAACCTTCCTCAGTACAGGCCAAAAAGATTCAACTCTGCTCTTGCTTTAAATTTGTAAATGAACAATCCTTGGAGCTACTCTCCCCTTACAACAATTATTTGTAATTGGTACTAGGTACCCTAAGAATCCAAAATGAAAAATAAACTAATGAGTAGCTGTATCACATACAGGAACTTAACATCAAAACCTTGTCCCTTAACTCTTCTTTTACTCACCATCTTAGATGGATAGAGTTTACTCCTAGATAAGAGTATACTGACCAGAGACTCAAAGCTCCGCTGGAATTACTTAAGTTGCGGTTATACATCTGGCACCAGTCATGTTTCTCCCTTCCTCAGCTGCTTATTCCTATTCACAAATGCCCACTCTGTTATAGTAGCATCCGTTTCTGCAATCACATGGCAAACCACACGGAAAATTAACTCCTTTCAGGCAAATCAGTATCTTCATGCAGTCTATGGTGCAGTTTCAGCAACAAGGTCAGTGACTCAATACAACAGGCAGTACAGCTGCAGGAATGAATGGTAAGGGCTACATATACCAGTTTAAGCTAGTAAGAAAAGAAACAAGCAGCTACAGGGTAATTCTTAGGCATTCTTATAAGATATGCAAAGTTAGTAAAGCATTGAAAGATGCGAAACATCCAGATTATCAGCACCAAAGATGACTTACCCCCATCACCTTACCACGCTGTTCAACGTCCTCCCACATGCAGTGAACTATATAGCGACACATGTATTTTCCTGTGCGACCCTCCTGCTTCATTCGTACCAGACACATCCTGCATGAACATAAACACCAAATTCATAGCTTCTAGCTTTTCTTCAAAGGTAAAGAGCAAATTAAATATACTTCAGCTCACTTAAAAGTCTCCTTACAGTAGGTGTTTTTGTGATCGGGGAAAAAACACACATACAAAGTTTTTGGATTTTTTTAAAATAAATTATCACAAAATATTCTCTTCTGTACTCAAGACCTGTATCTGCTGGATTTTGGGCAATCCAACTATGTAAGAGTGACAGTGGACTCTCTTCTGGCTGACAATACTGTAATCTAGTTAAACAGTACTGCAACCTACATTCCTCAGCCTTAAGAGTAGGAACAAATGTCTTGTCTAACCCTAGGCTACAAGCCAGCTGTAATTCAGCTTGGTATACTGAAGTGTTGTAAGAGTCCAAACTAGCTGAGCTGTGAAAGCTTAAGCAAGTTACAGACTTCACCCAAATTCACATTAGCAATGTCCTAAATTATTTCAACTACAGGGTCTTTGGATACATGTCCAACCACTTGGCAAAACCCCTACATGCAGTACATGCTAAAACTCACAAGTATGCAAGTGTGCCATAGGATCTTAATGAGAATACCAGGTTGAGTGTTTCACTTTTTTTTTTTTTTTTTTAAGCATTAAAGCCATTTGTACTTCATTGCTGCTGTTCTGTCTAAAAAATAAATCATCAGAACAAAAATTTTGGTTTGCCTCTTATATGTAATTTGTAAACAGCATGAAATCCCTCACTAAGCTAAGAGACCAGTCCCACCTTCCCTGTCTCACTGATCCCTGCTACTGTGTTAGGAGCTGGAAGTGCCTGTCCAGGATTGACTGAGTTACTGTAGATGAGGTGATGCTCAAACACTGGAGCTGAAAGAAGTCACTGCTTTGCACAGAGTCAGGCTACAGGTGGGAAACTGCTCACACGAAATTATTCTCCCAGCTAATGTAAAAGCAACAGAGTAGAACTGCTGGAGGCCACTTTGAAGCAGTTGCATACTAACAATAATCAACGTGCCACAAAAGTTAAGTAAAAATGATTATTTTTTAAAATCTGTTCATTTCTTCAGTGGACATAAGATCTGTGCCTCCCTACAGGCACTGAAAGTATTTGGTGATCTACAAATGCGAGCTCAACAAGGAGAATCATAAACACTTGAACCTTGACTATTGAGATGACCTATAAAAGGATGGGTGCCACTTTCTATGATGGATTCTCTCTTTTCTAGTGATTAGTAAAGGAAAGATATTTTCTAACCTGCGAAGGTAGCAAAACTTATTGCCAGCGATGAGTTACAGAGACAAAACAAACTAAAGGTAACAAAAACTGCATTAGTCCTGTTTTTTTTTTTTACTGATTAGGATCATACATTTAAACCCCTTTCAAGGGCCTTTCAACTGAGACACCAAAATTTAAAGAAGAAAAGCACATGGACCAGAATCTGATTTCTAGACAGACAGCTTCTGAAAAATAACACTGGCCATACAAGAGACAGCTCAGGCTCCAAGACAAGCCAGGTGGAGCGAGGTCAGGGGCTGCAGAGAGGGACCAAGGCATGCCAAGTAGACCAAGACCAAGGACTGAGAGAACCTGGGCAGAGGGTGGGTAGAGAAGGGGAAGGGCAGCAGTCAGCAAAGGGAATGTAGGGAAGACAGCAATGTCTGTCTCGGCAAAGAGAGCTGTGTAAGGATTCCGGAGGTTTATGCTGTAGCAGTGACAACACTGTATCTGTTCAACAGCACCACTGACCCAGCAAACAGATGTCATTGACAGCATCAAGAAGTGAATTCTCATCTTGCTCACAGAAAGATGACAAAGCTTTCTGCTAAAACAGTGGTCCAGAACTCAGAGAACAGCTGTCCAGTTACCACCCACAGAACAAATGCACAAAGAGTTTAAAACTTTTGTGTCTTATTTCCACCTGCTTCAAAACCTTTGCTACTCTTGTGCATTTATTAATTTACTTTCACATACAGCTCAATTATGTAAGTGTTACTATATCCCAAAATTCTACCCACCCTTAACAAGTCAAAAAGACTCAGATTAAAAGACTAATTTTGGGCTAAGAAAAGCATTTTTATACTCCTCTTGCTGAATAGGCAAGCTCAGGGAGAAAAAAACAAAGTAAGAGTGGCTTGGCAAGAAAACCTCCACCCGAGCATAAATACTGGTTCCTATCCAGGCTGTCTTCAGTGGTGGTGAAGCAGGAGAGACCAGTGCACAGACCAACAGCTAACAACTGGTCACTGATGAGCAGGACTGAAGTGGTGTACAGAGTAAAACATGCTACCCACGGAGCCTAAAAGGCGCCCTGTGTTTGCGTAGTGCTGTCACAGAGCTGTTTTTGCAGCATCCCCAAGTAAGATCATGGAATTCTGCAGTTTATTTGAAAATTTGGTAGTTTGTTACCACACTTGCCATCTGAGGTTTAAAAGACACAGACTTTTTAAAGACTATAAACCTTCTAACTCGATCAAAACAGAGTGAAACATTTTATTGTCTCGCTACAGAACCTGTCCTGTAGTTCAGTCAAATACTGACTCATCTTCATGAAACCGTGAAAGCAAAATTATTCCAAACTGTCTTTAGAAAGCTCTCTATCTGACACTGACTGGATAATTTATGCTGTATTTAAATTATGCAGAGATTACGTTAGAAGAAAATTATACGAAGGAAGGCGTGAAAAGGAACAGGAGCACCTGTAACTTGACCCATCTTGAATGGGATGTAGCAGTTTCTTACAACAGCCTCAGCTACAACAGCTTCTGTCAGTATTCCCATAGTGCCAACAGAGCAACTATTTGGGGGGCTATGTTGTACTTGTTCAGAGGAATTATTCTGCCTTAACAACACAAGCATCAACAGCAATTTTGGACAGTTTTTTTCTGTTTAACCCGTTCACGAATGGCCAGCAGCTTGGGGGACAGGAGAAGGAAGCTCCTGAATCTACTCTCTCATCAGCTGTGTGTTGTGACACACACTTGTAGGACTAATGGTAACAAGCAGAATTCTGAATTCTTCCTAATTAGGTTTGCGTGTTAGCCTGTGCCCCAGCCTAGCAAGTTCACCAACTACTGTATTCACAGCCATGCGCAGGTCTTGCTGGGGAACAAGACAATAAACCAGAGCCTGGCTGTGCCGTCTTCCTCTTCCCTGGTGCCTTTGCTTAGGCCATGCAGCCCATTCCCTCACATTAAGGCAGGATTAATGCCCAAGACATTCCAGATAAACTTGTTCTTTCAAAGTTAAGACTCCTCTGACATAATCTGAACAACTTTCTCCCTGCCCTTTCTACCATGAAACACAGATTTTATTCCCCTCTTCTGAGGCAGCACATTTCAAAATGATATGGTATCCTCAGTCTTCTCTGTGTAAATCTGAGAAATCTTTTCCAGCAGGAACTATTTTCTACATATTTGGTGGTTCTTGTTCTCTGCTGAACTCTCTCAGACTGATCAACACTCAAGTGCAGATTTCCTTAGGAAAAACAAAACTCAGATGAATTTTTGCAATAGATCTTGAAGTCTTTCAGAACACAAATTGTAGCACCACTCCATTTTGATCCTAAGTACTTTAGAGATATGTCACCACACTTGGTGTGATGAAAATATGAAGGGACCTCTAGGCATCTACATGACACATGTCGCACCAAGACACTTCTTTGTACAGTCACCAAATTCATCCCTTTGGCAGTTTTCAAACAGCTCTGGATGCTGCCAATACTCCATTCAGACCGCCACTGCATAGCAAAAGGCAAACCCAGCAGGGGATGAAAACAGCTTGAGATTTCCAAAAGGTCTGGACTTCTAAATACAGAGTCCTATTAACATCAAAAGTGTGAAGTAACAGAAATGACCTATAAAAACATGACATTCATGAAAGAACACTGATAGGTTGATTTTCTAAAGTATAATTTTAGCACTGCACTGGAAAGCACTGGAATGTAACTGGAGGAATGTTATCTTGAAAGAAGTTAGCAAAAGCAGAGGCTAAACGTGAGAGCCTGAATTTCCCTCCTTTCCGACTAGAGATAAGTAGCAAAACTCTATTCACAGACAAGAAGAAATAAGAGCCAGAGATTCAGACAACCCACCAGAACCTGTAACACAAGAACATAAGCTCTGACAAGCACCTTAAGTCTATAAAAGGTGGGAGGCAAAAAGCACAGTAAGACAGTTGACTTGAACATGACAGGCAATGACAACAGCAAGAAAGGAGATGGGGTTTACCAAAACAGGAAAAACGCTCGAGAAGACGCTCTAAATCAGTTGAAATTAAACTCTGAAAAAGAGGGAAGTAGTATGTACATCAGAAAGCAATGTAGACTGCATTGCAAGGGGGAACAGGAATGCTTTAACTGATGGTGATCAGAACCTACATGGTCAGGTCGCTGGCCACCAGATCAGGAAGGTTTCTGGCCTCTGAGGCAAAAGAGCCAGCAGGAAAGGCTGAGGGACTGACCCTTCAGACAGAGGTAGGATGTCCTTGACCTTGCCAGAGCCAGAAGAATCAATAGTGTTCTGTTCATACTTTACTGAGGTCAAACTGATTAAAGAAAGCGAATCACAGAGAACACAGCAATAAACCAGACTGTGAAAGCAAAATTATGAAATGGCAAGATCCTGGTCACTGAGCTAAGACAAGCAAAGCCTGCAGCACTCCCCAGTGACCCATGTAGTGAGCAGCTCTATCACTGGATTCTCTGTATTCTGGAATATCAAACTGGATCTCTCATTTGTGGTCCAGAATGACAGCAATGCTGAGGTCAAACTGCCAGGATCATGGAGGAGCCAGCCACACAAACCTTGGAAAAATGAACCTTTAGTGCTAACCTCCACACTCATTTCATTGCTGTCATACAAAGCAGAGGGATTTGGTTTCTTCCTGCTTGAGTAGGATATCGCTGTCAACCTGTCCACCATATCTTAAACAGAAGAGTACTTCAATTTCCCTCATTAAATGTCTCCTTAATATCACCAGCTCAAAGTGTGGCAACTCTTGGCCTCCTTAAATGTAGCTTTGATCTTAGAATTTTTCTGTCTATCCCATAATAGTTTCATCTGTATCGTAGTTCCTTTTTTTATTTTTATACCTGTCATGAAAGAAGATCAAGTATCTTGAATTTGATTACAGGGTACACTTCTCTCAATGCAAAAATCAGGAAGGTGTAGAAAAAAGTGCTCTTTGCAAATTCATGTTACCCCTCTTTATTTTTCCCCCCAATACTTACAAACAGCTTGGTTTTGAATATTTATTACAGTATTTTTCCAAATACCAATACAAAATATTAGCTTATCAATTAATGTTTTAATCCTTTTATCCACAGGGAACAGTAAGACACAAATAGACTGCAAATCTCAAGCTTCTTCCCTACTTGATTCCACTGATTTCATTGACTGATTACAATTTCAATAGTTCTGCTAGTTTATTCATTCTTTAGTGAAACAAGCTGCCCCATCTTTCAATATACTGAGGAGACAGGAAATTAAAAGGAGGGAAGGGGAAAAAAGGAGGCAAGGAAATAAGGGGCCTATGCTTAAGTGCAGCTATTTCAGTACAAACTTCCTTTCAGCCTTCGGATAGCTGAATCTACGGACTTCAGTTTCCTGAAAGATCTGGCATTTAACAAAAATTACTGTACTCCCTTGTGCACCCCTCTGACCTTTACAAGTATGTAATGCTGGATGAAAATCTGGGTTTTTTTTTTTGGCTACTATTTTCACAAATGAAAAAAGGAAAAAAACTTAATGTTTAAGGTGTCAAATATTTTTACATGTAGCCAAGCTGGCATTCATCAACCCACATGTATGTTTCAGAGGTGCAAGAATAAATGCCAAAGTCATAATTTGTTAAATGTTTCTGATCAGTAGCAATTTCAATCATCACAAATTTTCCCAAGTTAAACCACTTCTACATAAATTTTAACTTTTCCTAAAACACCCAAGTAAGATTTTTCAGTATAGGCTGAGCAAGGCTTTCAGAAAAGTCTTGGCAAAGACTGTTCCACTACTGAGGAATTTAGAGATGTGAAAGACGTTAGCTCCTCTATGGGACTTTTTGTTCTTTAGTAGAAAACTAAAATTCAGTGATTAGTAAATTGAATATAACCACTATTATCAATAACATGGGGCCTACTTTTCCTCACATTAAGGAACATATCACTATTTCCTGAAAATAGTTATATTACTATTCTACTTTTCACTTACCAGACATGCAGCTGGGCTACTAGAAACCATGAATTCAAAGTATCAGGCATTTGGCACCCTTGATGGGAGGGGAAAAACAAACAAACAACAAAACACAAAACAAAAACTAAATATTAATATGAGTTTTGTCATGTTTTGCACCTAACAGAAATTCACTACCCCACAGCGCAAATACAGTTTATTAATTTAATTTCTGGCCCTAAACAGTACATACATATCAGAAGCAAACATCATTTACTGTCACACTTGTGCTTAAACTCTAGAACATGCAGCTATAGGCTGCTGTAGATGCTGAAAGATTTCATGTGTTTAGACCTCACACAGATAACATTTACTGGGGAGAGGGGCAGTGTTCCAAAATGGAGAATTTGACAAATATGTGGCTTCTAGCTCAGGAGTCCCAAAGCAGTAGAGAATAATGGGGACATATCAACAGACACTTTCTGCTGTTCTTACACTCTTCCTTTAACATGCTGTTGCCTCCTGTGAGGGACAGAATACTGTGCTCTGACTCCACTGCTCTGATTTACTACACAGCTGTACAACCCACAGCACTCTCAGCATACCTTGCCTCCAGCCCTTCTACGTTAGGATTAAATACACCAACCAACCATACAAACAATTTCTGGTTTCAGACTTAGCTCTACTCTGACAGCCACTGAGTTTCTCAGAGATGGTTTGTCCATATGCATGTTCACTATGGATCTGTATGGGCGATTTAGGATGCGAGGCTGGAGATTTAGGCTATGTGGCACAGAAACCACATTCTTCTTCCTCATGCTTGAAAAGCATGGGCCTATGGGTTATGTGTACATTAAGTCCTTAAGTTCCCGTAAATCTTAAGCCTTCCTCATAGGTAGTCACCTCTACATCTGCTTCCTGGGGAAGTTTTTAAAAGGACTATCTAATGAGAAGGATGACAGAGTCACCTTGGCCCACCCAGCACTTGGTTTTCTGGACTCTTCAGGCCTAGCTGTAAGAAGGCCAGAGTGTTCAGAAATGGACTCTCCAGTCAGATGTGCCCCAAGGAAGTCAGCTTAGGAAGTCAATCTTTTGTGTGTTGAAGATATTCCTTCCTGACTCCTATTCCTTCTGGCTCCCAAGTATTACCAAGGAGATTCAACTGGATCATAGAGCCATACTTTTCACAGCCTCCTTTTTATATGCCAGCTATGGTCAGGCAACCACCACAAGAAGCAAGCAAATCATCACTATGACTCCCTCCTCAGAGAGATGACTCCATCAGTGCCTAGGAGGTGCCAAGCTTCAGCACCAGTGCCCACACATCACCTTTGCCACCTCCAAGACAGTCTAAAGACACTAACAGTCTATGTCTGGAGGTTAAACACATTTCCCTCACCCTATTCCCCTTTTGGCTCTCTCATTCCTATTAGAAATAGTTCATGTGCCTAAAAATGACAACTTAAGACCTAAAGGCATGCCAAGGCACCTCTAACCAGGGCAAGAGTACACAGTGCTTGCATTAATACAAACCGTTTCATTAAATGAAGGTTCCACAGGCAAGATTCAGTGTAAAACACTTAGTTCAAACAGAGGTTTCTGAAGTAGAAGTTACCATGTATCAGTCTCCCACCACAGAGATCACTCTCCAGTGGAAAGCAAAGCTCACACCTCTACTAATGGAAAAACAGAAAGTTTTTAAAGACCTAGTTAGTACTCAGGAGGGAAGAATTTTTTCTCTAATTTTCCAAGCGTTGCAGTTCTATTTTTACAATTCATTTTCTAACTTCTATATTAGAACTGTGTACATTGTAAATTTAAAGGAGAGATGGCTCCTTTAAAGCAACAAACTTGCCCTCAGATATCAGCTTTTTAAAAAGAATACAATTCTAAAATTTGGGGGGTTGGAACACCTTATTCTGGGAAACTAACTGGGAAGAAAGACCCATCCTATATTTAAACAGAAAATTATTGCCTTCAGAATACATTTAGACACAGAAAAAATGTCTGATGTTAAAACCACCCAGGAAATTACTGTGATTATTATCAGCCGGGGAATAAATCTATTCTGCCCACAAAACACATCCTGTTCACAAGGCTGCATGCAATAAGAGACGTGAATGCTCGGGATTACGAGGACATACCTCTTCCTCTAATCATACTCTGCACTTAAAATTCATCAGGTAAGGGATGCAAAACTTGAATGTGGACTTTCTTTCCTGATAGATCATCTTTGCCACTACCACAATTTTAGGAAGAACACAATGTGATAATGGCCCCATATCCTGTAAAAAAAACAAGTTCCCCTGAGCATGACAGCTAACAGCAAGTGCTTATAAGGTACCTGATGAGCTGAGGGACACAAAAGAATCCAGAGTCCTGTAGGTAAACCCCACTAGAGGTTACACCAAGGCTGTTTTGACACAGCCAGCTCTTTACTACTGCAGCTGCACGACAGCAGACCAATTAACAGTATTAACAGTTGAAGACGAATTCAAGTTACCCTACATTCCATGTTCATCAGACACATTTCAGGTCAGGATCACCCACCTGATCCTAAAAGTTCCTTTGACCTTTTAAGTACAAGGAAACAGCTGAAGTCCTAAACCAGCTTCACTTTCCACATAAGCAGCACAGTAGAGACTTTTGGGATGGAGCCTATAAAGCAGAGATCCCAAAGTATTGTGCACGGATGATCACAAATCAAAGAGATAACAAAATGGCAGGTATAATAAAAGTAACTGTGGTAAAATACTAGAGAGTCTCAATTAAAACACCTCCTTTATATACTACAGTGGCTTTGTGACTTGCATATCCACAGTCCATATTTTGGGAACTGCTGTTCTAAGGCATAATACAGAGAAATGCAGTTCATAGGGCTCACACTTTGTGTAACAAAGTCTCAGAAATTTCACTAGGTATCAGCAGAAATGCACTGAGATAACAAAATAGCCTGTAAGACATGAATACTATCATTGTCCTAGTCCTCCACACCATATTATCCAGTCTTTACACTCTGTCACCGCTGTCAGAGAACTGCCTGACAAAACCCACATGCCAATCCAAGTTCCATAAGGTCACACTGCAGTCGCTATTCATGCCACAACACAACCATGTCACAAAAGCACATCCAGAAACACTGGAGAAGGCTCTATGAAGAACCGGTTCTGATCACACAGGGTTAATGAGCCCACAAATGGTTTTACACACGCCTGGATGTGTGGTTTCCAAGGCCAGCTCAGCAGGTTAACAGCTCTCACAAACAGCAGAGAAAAAGCTAATAAGGTCTCCAGAGACCAGAGCTGACTCTATGCAGTTTGCGTGGATATCTCAACACCATGCAACGAGAGCCAGAAGTGCTGGGGGCAGCAAAGCATAAATACACCATCAGGTCTGCATACAGCAGGCAGACCTGAGCTGGGTCCCATGCAGCACCATTCCTACTTTTAGGGCTCCTAAGCAGTGCAATGCATCATGTGCCCACATCAGCATAGTCTCAGGGACACCTGTGTTTGCTGCATCACCAGGGGAAAAAGTTCAGTGAGTTGCTTGCTGCTCCTACTCATGCCCCCAGGCTGCTCTTTTGAGAGTGAGCTGCAGTCCTGGCTTAAGCGAAGCTCATCTTTATTTGAAAAAGGTGCAGTTCAGAACAGAAAACACCAGCTCCTGACTGACCTAGTTTGATGAAGACATTGTGAATTGAACTGAAAGTTGGATATTTTGTTTCATGCCATGTTCCCCTCTCCTAAATGAATACTCCCCACCACCTACTTTATGCCACAGCTGCTGCCCATCAGAACATTTCATGTGCCACCTTGTTGTCCCAAATCTGGGCTCTTCACCCCACATGCAATACGCTGATCTGCACAAAGTTGAAATATGTTTATTGCATGTCTGCACAGAGATGGGTGGTAACTCCACCAAGCTAGCACACCTTCTGAGAAATAAGTCAGGTCTTCATGTTATTATCTGGTATGTAAGAAACCACCACAGTCAATGAAGAATCAGTCATTTGTTACTCCTATCTTTACATATGAAAGCAGAAATTTGCCATTCTCTTATCTCAATACTCCTACTGTCTTTCTTCGAGAGCAGTTTGGTGCTATGGAGGTCTGATGACCTGGGGACAAGCTTCCATCCTTGGGGCAAACCCAACTGTCTCCCAGTCATCAACTATACAAGCTCACCTAATTGTGAAACTTAGAAGTCTTGTGAGTGTTACCTCTTTTCACAGGCAGAAGACAGAGAAATAAGCTGTTTCCCATTGGCCTCTACTTTGACTCAGCTGCCCATGGAACCACAGCCTGAAGCTTCTTAGTCGGCCAAATCAATTTAAAAGGTTCCTGCCCACCCCAAACAGTCTGTGTCTTAGGGGAACTGCTTTTTAAACATGGATCACATGCCTGTTAAAATTTAGAGCTAATCCCCAAAACAGCTGCAAGTAGATAAAGTAACAGAAACGTCTATCTTTTTTTTCTCTATGAAAACCATTATTCTTTTGTAACCACAACCATAGACCCCAACACCACAGGTATTCTTGTAACACCAATGGGAGCATCACACACACTGTCAAACTCAGCAAAACAACCTTGTTTCTTATGTAAAAACAGTCCCAAGTCAATGCAAACATAAGTTTCCCTGGGTGTAAATTCAGAGATGGACCAGCTACAACTTGTACTACAGAGCAAAAAGACAAAAGGAGCAACGAGGACATTCTGGTGACACTTGAAGGAAAGGCTGCCTGCTGTTTGTGATATGTTTAAAGTGAGGGGGAGCTCTGGGAATTTTGTCTTTTAAACAGTAAGAGAGTATCAAGAATACAACTGAAGTAATTTTACTCAGTACTGAGCCTGAAAATCTGTGCCAGTATCTTTCTCATGTTTGGAGATTCATTTAAATTTTAATCTAGGGTAATATTTATACATCTTTGTACAAACAGACTGCTAAGCAGAGATAGTGAAGCACCAGTTAAAAATAGCAAAACCTCTATTTGAGAGGCAAATACGACAAACAGAAGAGAACTTATCTGAGAAAGCTTGAGAGGGCACACAGCTGGGGAGAGGTGTGTGCACAGGAAAAATGAGGTTCTAATTTTTTGATCACTAATGATGAATCCTACTGCTCACAGAGTTCTCTCTCTCCTGCAACCACTGAAACCACATCACAGTTTTGGAAAGCCTTCTGAAAACCACTGGAAAATCTTGCAGCAGCAACAGCAAACCACCTTCAATAAGCTCTGCACTAGATGAACACACAAAGATGTCCCTTCAGCTGATCTCTCAAGAGGTGGCAGCACCAGCCCCAACCTGTGCTGGTGCATTGTAAAGCCGTAAGAAAGCATTTGGTAGCTCAGGAATTCAGGTGACAGGCCAGATCCAAGCAATGGCTTTACTACAAGCTAAATCACACGGACAGGAAATAACTCACATAAGCATAAAATATTATTGAAGCTTACGTAAGTCTCAAAAACACATCTTCCCCTTTCACCAGCTAGATTTGATACTAATAAAAGCAGCAACTGATTTTTTCACTAACAGCTAAAAAACCGTGCAGCATGGAAAAGCCATCCCAATTCATGCTAATATTATTCCTATATACTTTAAGGAGGAACTTGTGTCTCTTCCAGTCATACTCTCTACCAAGTCAAGAGATGTGTCCTGGTTTAATGCTGTCATGTCCAGTAAAACATAGAAAGTGTCTAAGTTCTAACCAAATCTGCCTCAGCCATGAGGAAGAGAGACAGGTAGGGCCCTGTGATCTAACTGACCCCAGATGATAAAATAAGTTGTCCATCAGTGGATGGGAATGGTTCTCATACCTGCATCCCAGTTATACTGGACCTTCTCACAACTGGTCATGGGACAGGGTAGGACATAGAGACCACCTGACCACAGTAAAAAGGGAAGAGATATCTGGATTCTTAGATTATCCCACCCCTGGTAATAAAAAAGGCAATATCCCTCAAAGCCCAGGATATTCTGGGGTTTGCCTATTCCAGCCTTGTTCTTGTTCACCATTGCAGCAGGCACAATGTAATGATCCCAGACACTGGAGTCTGCCCCTGAACCCTTACCACTTCAGAGCTTAAGGGAACGCTGTAGCACAGTCAGCTTCCAGTTGACCATGCACTGTTAGGGTCCAGCAAGTCTTTCTGCCATCATATTTTTTGGTATAAACGTATCTAATGAATTTTCATCAGCTCCCTCACCAAGGCAGTATTCACACCAGTCCAAATACCATCAAATCCACTACTTACTCTTAAAAAACTCCTCGTAGTCAGTTTTCTCCACACAGCACGTGTACATGCGCAAAGCTGCTACCTTAATTTTCTAAAGAAAATGAAAAGACAATACTTAAAAGTATTCATCATGAGAGCTAGTGAACACTACGTTTTTGTTAAATATGTACACTGTAATTTTCTGAAAAGACTTCCTTTGAGAATCACAATTACTTGAGATTTTCAGGAGCACATTAAACTATTATATCTCCCAGGATAATGGTATAATCAATCAATCTTGCCTTCAGGCAAAAAAATTATTAAATACACTTCTAAATCTAGTTTAATATAATACTGTCATTACAGAAAAATAAATTAAATGGCTTTCCTTACAGAGGAAAATCCTTGGATCTTTACAGGATCTCCAAACTGGAATTGGAATTCACAATTCCTAGTTTCCTCAAATAACTTTAATTGATGTATACCACTCAAAGTTAAGTTTTAAATATTAAAGAAGTGATATACCAGACATGTCCTAAACATTCCTTTTTTCCTGTAAAACCAAAAATTGACCAAATAAGCTTCACAAGTGAAAAAGGAATCCTAAATGATTAATGACATGAGGTTACACTCAGGTGCTTTGGCACTTCTAATTTTGCCACTGCACCACAAACGCCTTCAGTGCATCATCTGTAACAAAGATATATGTGCTGAAGCTTCGACAAGCACAGTAACTGATAGCAAAGATCTTAGAGAGCTGTCAGCCATTCCTGTTTACTAACACCAAGGAGAGAAAAATAAAAAAAAGAATTGAAGACTCCAGAGCCCACTCCCCTACCTAAGCTAGGAAGCAGCAGTGAGCTTGGGTTGGTTTAGGTGTTTTTATTTTGATTTTTAGCGACACATACTTGGGATCATCTTAGTGCTCACTATATTACAGAGATGAGCACTATGCCTGTCAAATGGCACTTCAAATTACTAAAGTAATCATTTGTGTCTTCTCCAACCAAAAGAAAAATAAGGAAGATGTAACTCATCTCCTGCTGCGGAAACACAGGAGCAATAGATTTCAATAATCTCAGGCTTCTGTCAAAAAACAAGTATACATCTAAACTTCCTGTGGTAAAATAATTTACACTGCTTACTGGAGTTCTGAAGCTTTCCTTTATAAAGGAAACACTGCCTGGCCTGGGAGCAGAGATGTCCCCAGTGAAAGCCATTGCCCAGCACCAGGGGCATTACTAGCCATTGAAAACATATTGTAAAGAATAGTCCCTGCTCTCCAGCCCTTAAATAAGGCAGGTAACACCGGAGAAACTGGTGAAACTTAATAATGGAAGTTTTAGGGTGTAGAAGAGGTGTGGGGGAAGGGAGAATAAAACAGAAAAAACGAGAGAAATATAAAGAAACTTCCCTAAGATCCCATAGAGAGCACTGGCAAGGCCAAAAATTAACTCGGGTCTCTTGGGCCCTAAGCACAAAATAACTCTCTCCAAACTCAAGTTCCCCAGCCAAAAGCAGGCATTAAAGGGTAGCAATTGAGGAAAACACTGAATCAACACATGGCGCTCACAAGAATCTTATTACAACAATATGTACACAAGCACATGGGAAAGAAACTGCTCTTCTCTTGAGGTTTATTATCACCTGATTAAAAGCAACTGATTTAACCAAAATGCCTAACCCCTTTAAGCGTCAGTTATCTTTTTGTATTTTCTTCCTGAGGAGTGAGATGCAATCAGCAAGAGTTTCAGATCAATCTTGGAGGAGGGTTCACTTCACCCTGCAGATATTCAAACCACCTTATAGGTTTTAATTCCTGCACAGTTGTGCTCAGCCCTTCCTTCAACCTGCCTTCTCCTCTCATTCCTTTATACTGTGTCCAAGTTCAGAGCAAAGCTATTATGAATTTCATCTCTGCCTTTTTCCTTCTGCATAAGGAACTGAAGGTGTCTCTTACAGAACTGCTTTCATTCAGTCAATGTTAACAACTGCTTTATGAAAGGACTATTTAAAAAAAATGCAAAAGAGGACCACCTATCTGTGACTCTAGTCAGCTACTGCTGAACAGCGACTCAAACAGCAGTCATAAGATGTCTTACTATTGTCTGTTTGGGAGACCCTCCGGTGACAGAAATACAGAACACTGAAAAATGTTCAGAGAAGGGCAATAAAAATCAGAACATGAAAGAGCCTCAATAACAGAAACAAGTCAGACTGAGTCTCCTCAGTCCAGAGAAAGACTAAGATATTATGGAATATATGAGTCTATGAAATCATCAGTAGAAGGGAGAACATGAACACACCCTCCAAAGAAAGGATCATCACCATTTTTTGAAAAGTACAAAATTAAAAGGCATCAACAGAAAACAACTGGGTTGGGGAAATCCTAAGC